ATTTTATTATATCTATGTTATATTGTATCTATATTTTATTATATGTATATTTTATTATATCTATATTGTATTTAATGTGATTTAAACACTAAATTCAACTTATGTTATTATATTATCTGTATATTATATTATCTGTATGTTTTATTATATCTATGTTATATTTATTATATGTTTTATTATATCTATGTTATATTTATTATATGTTTTATTATATCTATGTTATATTATATCTATATTTTATTGTATCTATAGCTTTCATGTTTTATTTTAGGCCTATATCTGGTTTACATCTATGTTTTAATTTATGGTTTTAGTCTGGATAATGTTGCACCCACTGAATGTCTAAAACCTTTTATTCATAGATATAAATGCCCCAAATGACAAAGTGGAAGAATTAACTGAATCTTCTTGCAAAATCTGCCTAAAATGACACTTTTTATTACTTTTCCTTTTTAATTGACTCGTTTATAGTAATAGCAAGGGCCTTCACCACTATTTAATGTACATTGATTTCGTGGATAAAGCATGTTTTTCCTTATGTCTTTTTTCATATTCAGTTTTGTTTATGAATGTGTAGTTAATTTATTTAAATAAAGCCTGAATTGCCTGACAATTTCTCTTCATAACTTTAAATAAATTCAGTGTGTACACATAATACCCTGATGATACCATGATTATACTTTTAATACACAAAAAAATATCTCTAAAAACAACTCAAATTCTTACCAATATGAAAACTCAGAAAAAAACTTAAAATGTATTTATGATTGATCTTGTTGTGATTTTCAGTCATTCATATATTATTATATATTACAATATTTGTTCTCATTCTTTTCCCTTCTTTTCCTTTTATACTTATTCAACTCAAAAGGTGACTCCCACAGGCACATGCAATATATTTCTAACTTTATGAACATTTAATAAAGAGGATAAAAGAACCTCAGATTTGTGATTTTACATGAATTTAGTGTCCTGATATTGTTGGATGGTATGACTCTGACATTATCTTTAACAATCCACTAGAGGGAGCAAAATCCATGTGTTAAAGCTTAGTCACACCCCACATTCAGTGTATCTAACATTATTATTGAATCACAGTGTTTTAATCTCCTCAAAGCACTATCGGCTTTTATTTTGCATTAAATATAGCAGTAAAATACACATTCATGGATAGCCATTATAGGGAGAATCATATTTTATTTAGAAACATACTGTTACACGTACCAAGGTCACAACACCACTCACATTTCTCAGATTAATCAGCATTATCTGTTCAAATGGCGCTAAGGGGAGGGATATTTATTGCACAACATACTCATATTTTATTTCAAATTCTCCACATTTTAGAGGTTAATTGGTACAAATAACACATTCAACTACAGAATGACTATCAGTACCCATAAGACACATAAGAAGGATGTTAGGGTATTGTTATGCTCTATAGATGTGTCTCTAGCATTGACAATTTTGAACTTTACATATTTTACTTTTTATTCAGACCCAAAGGTGTGCACTGCAAACGTCTGGTCCACGTATTGTATGTGCATACTTTCATGCTTCAACAGGGCAGCTGTGAGAGGAGATTGACATGTGTTTGACACCTAAGTCCAGGTCCAGATCCTTCCCTAGAATCTGAATCTTCTCCAGGCAGCCTGTCAAGAAGTCAGAGCCAATGCTGTCCTCACCCTCACCTGAATGAAAAGTAAAAAAAGAGGAAGAAGAAACCACGAGTGACCTTGTATTGCACTCAAGCAAGCTCCATGTCTGGCCTAATCAATGGCTTCTCTGTATGGGAATATATTTTATTGCAACTGCTTGCTTTGTGTGCTGTCCATGTTATGAATGTTTTTTATTGTGTGGTTTTTCTATAAACTCTGTCTGCAAATCAAATCCCTGTTCCTCAACAGTAATATAGGACCTTCAATTCGAAGATATAAAAACTGTAGCTGACTGTGCCGACAATTTGAAGACACACTGCACATCAGCGCTGTTTTAATCTCACCTAGGAGACCTCCGAAGGCAAGACGACCCTCTCTCCATGTGGTCAAATAACCAGGGTGGCTCACTGGATTGATAGATAACGTTGTGGTCTTCGATTCATCTTCATCTTGAAGCACTTGCAGTAAATCTGTCTGAAATGTTATCACCAGTCTCTTGACGGTGTATTTCATACTGATCTTTTCTTCACCGAAAGTGAGACTGACCTCCTGCAAATTCAAGAGAGAGACACAGAAGAAGAAACAAATGTTCATGTAAGCTCTGAAGGCACCCTTACAGTGCCATGAGCAGTTTTAAACAGATGCGAGGAATTACAGGCAAATTTAGTTTGACTTACGTCTGATTTACATGCATACCTCTCTGTTATTACTGGCCACTAAATCGAACATCAGTTCTTGCCCAGGAGCCCTGATGCTCAAAATGGTCCCATCCATCTTACTGAAATCCCCCTGGAATTCAACCTTGACCCCATGATCTGCCTCAATGGGGAAAACTGCAGAGGACAAAACAATAACTCACAGAATTAATTAATGAATACAATATTTTCTACCCAAGGTGTCAGGCAAGAATGCATTATCCAGGCCTGTTGGAAAGCTTGTTATTCTATGAAGGAGTGTTAGCAGTTGCCCATATCTTGTATAATCGAGCACAATGTTCCCACCTGAGGTGTTGAAAATGGCAAATCCAGTGCCAGGGAAGTAGCTGCCAGGTTTCACTCTGTCACAGCAGGGCCAGAGCTCCTCCACCTCTGTCTGCCAGGGGACGCTGAGGTTTAGCCAGTTGCCTTCGCGCACACAGCCGTCCATCTGCGGCTCGAACTGTAGCAAGGAACAATGCATTAAGTGGTATAAACTTCAGTGTACATTGTCACAGTCCCATTACAGGGTGCTTGAACAACCCCAAACACCCCAAAAGCCCCTTATAGTACTTTACTAATACAAAACAAAACAAACTTTAATTTATAGGCACATTTTATGGTAATATGTCTGCTTTACTACCAAGGACAGCTGACCACATGTTAATACTAAGTCATGTCCAGCACAAAGCTGCAGCTACAGTGCAGTGTGATATACTTTCAATTTTAAAACAGCTACAGAAAAGTAATGTTTCTGGTGTTAGTCCTTCAGAATTAACAACAAAAGCTGCTTTTTACACTCATAACAAAAGAGGCAGAGAACCTGACAAAAGCCTCAATAAAGCAGAAATCAACACAGCTGCCAAAGTTTGCAAAACCAATCCCAACTCAAGGTGGCCCTAATTTTAGCAAGTGGGCTACTGTAGAAACATTGCGGTTCACCAGACTACATATATATAAATGTCTCATTCTAAGGTACCAGACAGATAGGAGAATCACCAGGGTGGATGAACACACTATACCTGAACAATCATCTTTTCTTTGCTGATCAGGATCCCACCAACAGCCAGTCGGAGTTTGCCTGAAAGGACCTCATCTGTCTGTTTGGACTGCATGCCCACCGCAAGCCCGTTGGAGCCGTCCACATCTAGAACCACAAACTTATCTTGGTTGCTCACCTCCAGCTTGGTGGCACCAAGAAGAAGAATTCAGACTTAAAGTTCCTGCGTAGCAACACATGGTCACCAATTTGTATTACTACACACTATGTCCAGTAGACTATATGATTATTAAGTATGTGGCAAGAAAGTCCATTTAATCTAGTATTTAGCCTTAAATCTTTAAACAAACTGAGAATTTGTCATGTGTTATTTTAGGTTAAATCAAACTACACCAGAAACTCACTGTGTGCCATTTTCCGTCGTTGAGTTTGGGGCCGCCTGCCACACTGATGAGGATGTCCCCTTTGCTGATCTGCATCAGAGGGATGCCATCTTTCAGGGACAAAACAAACCAGTCCTCCCCGTTTTTGGTGTCTCCATAGAAAATTGCACCTTCTGGGTCAAACGTCCGGAACTGAAAGGATGACTTGATGCTGCAGAAACAGAAAAAAAAGAAGAGAATAGTTGTTCATGGGAATGCAGGTCCATAGAATATAAAGAAGTGTCTCAGGTTGCCTTTTAAATATTAATTATTATCCTTACGGTTTACCAATATAAGATAATAATGAATGGTTATTTAATATTTAAGTTACTGAAAATAACGGGGTTCAGGATCAACAATATTCCAGTGGGTTCAGGATTTCCTAACTCTACCCTGTATTTGCTTCCACACATTCTCCCCAGAGTACATTTTCAAACATGCAAGAGCCTTTTTCTGCCTCCTAAAGCTCAGATTTTCTTTGAGCAGTTGATGTGAAGCCTTCGCGGTGCAGTTGGTCTGCTGCTGCTGACGTACCTTCTGATCTCACTGAGGTTCACTGTTGTGTGGATCAGTGGCCTCCAGATGTCTCTCTCCTGGCCGAGGTAGACGCTAGTCCGGCCTGATACTTCTTTCTGGAAGACACAGTGTTCATAAGGTTCTCATTAAACATGACTTCAGCTCATTATTCTGCACGGTTCACATTCATTGCTTTAGTATTTCCTCGTCAGATATGATGATTGGTTAGTGGTTAAAGCCATATTAAACCAAGTGATGAACGTTATTCAATTATTGATTCAACTTAATTACTGTTTAACAAAGTGTGGTCACTCAAATTCTTAAGTGGTAATGAAGTAAAAAATCAATGTGGAGTCATTGACAAGACAGCCATGTGGCATCAGCGTATCTGTACACAATGGCTAACATGAAACTTAATGGGAAAAAAATAATAATTCAATGAGGTAAAAATAGCTGGTTGTCTCACAATCTGTTCTGTTCAAAATGTTCTTTATCTAAAATCACTGTTAGGAGATGCTGCGGTACCGCTCTTCATCTGGCTTTGGAATTGCATGTATGAGTTGATTTATGATATTTGTTTACTGGTTTATAGAATATTATACTGGACTTTTACTGGATAAAATATACAGAGTTGTGAAAGAGGCTCTGAAACAGATATTTGCAACTATAAAAGGAATTAGATTTATGGACTTTATTAAAGCTATTTAATTTATGTTAGAGATCCCACTCCTTTTAAATGTGTTCCTTTATTTATTCTTGACCAGTGGATACACATGCTCTTTAGACTATCAGATAAAGCCTGATAAGAACATTTTAACAAAACACACACACACACACATACCAGTGCACTATTTTTTCAGGCATTATAATTGTGGCATCACACATGAACGTACCTTTTCCCGTCTGTTCTGCTGTCCCTCAGCTCCCCACCCCAGCAGAGTGAGGCTGAGAGTGAGGAGCAATCCACCTGCCATCACTTTCCAAACCATGACCATCCTTTGGTTGCGTTCACTACCCTCAGGTGTCAGTGGTGGGACGAGGAGCAGAGAGACTCTACAAGTATGAGAATGTGAAGCGGTGGTGTGTGCTGGCACATTGTTCTGGGGTCCAGAGGGCAAATATGCCGTGGTCAGTGAGTGCAGGTTATTGATCCCCAGGAGGGAGTGCTTCATGCCCAGGATCTTTGTGAAAATGTAGGTGGGCGAAAGACACTGAGTGGGCAGCAGGTAAACAGAGGATAGAGGAGAGAAACAAGAGAGTCAAAGGCAGAAGAAAGATAATAATTCCAAATTCAGCAAAGTATAATTCTTAATTAAGCGTGCATTCCCTTCAGTCTGTGGATTTTCTGCCTTTATGGTGATTCATGAAGAGTGGACAATACTGCAGGCTGGGTGAGTGACCTTAGCCTGACCACTGTGTGTTTACCCATTACACAGGAACCTTGATTCACCACCACTGACTATGAGTGTGTGTTGTAAAGTCAAGGGGGGAGAGATGAGAGGGGGCCTGTTTTTCAATTCACAAAACAATTTTTCTGCCCACTGCCTTCCTGTGATACAGCCCCCTTCCAAGACCAAGGCTGGTAACTGGGAATACCGGGAAAACACACAGAAATTAAAGCTGCAAGCAGCGATGAACGGGCCCTCGCACTCCACGCAACTCGGGGCGTTCTGCAGCTGCGTCACGTGCAGGCGTTACACATGCGGACCAAAACATGAAAATTTCACGTAAATCAGATCAAAGTTGCCATGCAGCGCT